ATTTACATTGAGGTTTCATCACAAGCTGACAAAACCTCTTGGATGTATGCTTTTGTAAGCTTTTTCTTGCTTTTACCAATCTTGAATTGATGTATGCTCATCAGCCAGATAGTGGATCCAGTTGCAGTCATCTGTCAATGGCTGATAAGCCTGACTACAATTCTTTCAAATTCATTGACAACTCGAAGGAGATCAGCCAGCAGAAAGCATATCACGATAATAAGATCACAGAAAAAAAGCAGAAGAAAGGGATTGGAATAAGAAGGAACCGAAATTGGGCTAATACTAATTCTGTTGCCCAGAATGATCCAAGATTCGAAAGAAAACCTGCTGGTGAAGAAGATGGAGTTAAAGAAAGAACGAAGATTAGAACTGAAATCTCAGTAGTGGACTCACACAGACCTGACCTGGCAGTGTTCTTACAAGACAGCAACTATCAGTTTGTTAAGGAAATTTTCATGGACAGCCGAGTGCCTTCACAGTCCAGGATATGGGATGAAACATTTATGCTGGATCATAGAAGTTTATCACGTGTGATTTGCTCGAATGAGGAAAGTGATAGCGAATCGACAGGAGGAACTCTGGAGACAGTTTCATCCTGTTCAAGCGAGTCTGAACATGTTGAGGAATATAATGATTGTAGAAGGGAAGCAATCAAGCATTGTGTTTCTGATGAGAGATTGGTAGAAAGTGAAGAAGAATTTGATGAGAGTTAGATCAGTCAATCTGCTGGGAAAATTGTGACCGGATTGAAGCCGGTTAGAGAGGTAAGAATTTTCGTCTCCAGTATGTTATACTTCAATGGTTTGAATATGATGCCTTCATTTTAACCGCTTGACTAAGAAGGTAAAAGTTATAATTAAGATTTAATTTTACTGAATTTAACAGTTAAAAGAATGGATTTGGGTCGGATGAGCATTATTATTATTAGCTTATCTGCTACCTACGAGCTTGTATTATTTCAATACATATGAGCTAATACCTACATGTATAAATAAGAGCTCTCGTGAGAAAAAAATTTCTTTTGTTTTTGGTTCTTGATGTTCTTTCAAAGGTTCCAATCGAGAGTGCAGAGTTGGCAAATTCCGTGCATATGGCAACATCTAAATCCAAAACAACAGACGATAATGGTTGTACAATTGTTGAAATTGAGATAGAGAGTGGAACCACTGGAAATGGCATGGAAGAACTGCAAGAAACTATTGGAGATTGTCCAAAGACTGTAGTTGAAACCAGAAGCAATCTTAAAGTTGAAGATTCGATGTCAAGAGAAAGCCCAACAGGATCAAGCCAAATCTCTGGCAAGAATCCTGAACATGGAAATGAAGAATCCGGTCCACTTGTTTTTGGTCCTTTTCTCGGTCGGATAGGGACAATGCCTTATTCCGGTAGCTCCTCTCTCCGGTCAACTAGCAGCACTTCTAGCTCCTTTGCTTTTCCTATGTAATTTTCGCTGCTCTTGTTATATTTATCATTTATCTTAGTATTAGAATCGAGGTTCTTAATCGTAGTATTACTTGTGAATTACTGTAAAAAAGAATTCTTTTTTTAAGTGAATAATATCACACGTCTCACAATTGATTTATATTTGAACAGACTAGCCTCGGAATGGAATGGCAGCCCGGTGAGAATGGTGGAAGCCGACAGAAAACAACTGAGAAGACAGCAGCAAAGTTGGAGGATATGTTGTTTCCTCTGTTGTAAATTCTGATATTCTTCCTCTGCACCATACATGCATGTATATACACATGTATTCTTTCTGCTCATATTTATTTTTACGTGTATTGGGTTTGCTGTTTCTGGGTTCTGGTATGATGCTGATGATATGGGAATTGTTTTGCTGCAGGAGGATGGGGAATTAAATACATTCATTGTTTATATATGTTTCTTTCTTCTTTTAATAATACACGGGGATATAAACACAATAATAATAAAATATATGATTAAGAAAAGACATTAGGGAAATCTGTGGTTTAATTATATTATAAGGGAGGGAGGGTTGGGTGGAAGGCCCCCTAAGTAGGGAAATATTATAATGGCGGCAATTGCGCCCGTCAAAATCATTGACACAAATTGTTAAGGCAAGACCCACGCCAAGGACCACCACCATGTGCCTAAAATTCTAAGTCTCCATCCATGCCACCCTCTCACTCCACCTTGCCAAACCCATAATACTCTTCCCATTCTTCATTTTTAAGCAACACTGCTCATAAATAGATACACACACATATATAGTTTATATACATATACACAATTTTTACATAACCCGGGAACATACCCTAAATTCCAAATTCATGGTCAGTCCAGATTACATATATAGCAGGACAAGGACCACAATTGACAACATGGAAGAACTTTCACCCAGCTTGCAAAATCTTTCAAGATTTTAAGTTTACTGCCTTGTTAGGTCACTGTCCTACAACCCAATGGACACTGTCCCTTGCCATTATTCTTTACATTTCTCACTGGGATTCAACGAACCTGATTAAGTTGGTACAATCGTGGGGTTCCCAAATAAAAATCTACTAATTATAACCTACCCAATATTGGTGGGTTCTCTCTGACACTCCCATATAATAACTAAGAATTCTATGTTGATATACCCATCATTTTTATATATGTGCCTATGTGCGTGATCATGATAGTTCAAATAGTAAAATGCAATATAAGAGCTTACCCATTTCAACTTGTATACACACACACATATATATATATATATGACACCATCCAATCCATGGATGTTATTGAACTAGACATTGCTGTATGGGGAACTCATACACATGCTTACTTACCAAGATATGGCCATACATACAATCATGGATGATAAGATGAGACGATGATCATCACCCCCACAGATGAGTGTGGTCTCATGTGGAAGACCACTTCTGCACATGTTATGGGCCCCACCTTTCCCCCTCACACCATTTCTCAAAGTAACTGCCCACCCACCTAATGTGCACTCCTCCCTTCCTTCCCGCCTCCACGTCATCATCATCCCGCACTCTTCTTCTCTCCTTTTTCACATTTCAAATCCTAATTCCTAAGGACAAAACGACCACGTTCTAGGGCTAACCCTATAATAGATGCCCACGTGTCCCCTTGCGCGTTAAAGCTATTGTCTAGCCACCGCCACGTGGAGTCATAATCACGCATGAGACTGCTCATGAGCACGTAGGCCACCACCACCCTACAGCACCTACATAATTTGTACACTATCGCGCTACAGCTCCGTACACAAAAGATCAAACCAAAACCAACTGTTTATTTATCACCGCCATTATCCTACCCTTGCTGACGTGGCACATTCTTAATAACTGATTGGATGATTTTCATCAAATAAAAAAAATAAATAAACAAACAACGGAATTTTTTTTCTAATATATTTTGATTAATTTAATTAATTCAAAATACATTAGTAAAAAAATAATAATAATTTTGAAATTAAAAAAAAAAAAAAAAAAAAAAAAAGAGGAGAAGAAAAACCTAACATGAGAGTTAGTTGCAGATAGAAAGGAAAATATCACACTGAAACACCTTCTTCCGATTAATCACCAAAATAAATTCGATCCCCTCGGAAGAAAAAAAAAAGAAAATTAAATATATAAAAAATTTACAGACAGGAACAACATAATTATATTTTCATATTCTTAACTCCCTTGATTTCTTTACGTTGATTTGTTTTGATTTTTTTTTCGTGAGAGTTTTTGTTTTTTTCGTCTTTTTTTTTGGTAGTCAAAAAAATAAATTAAGAAAAAAAAAGAGTAAGGAATTTAGGGGAGATAAAGGCTAGGCTGATCTTGATCAGTCCACTGACCCTGACTCCAGTAAGCCTGATCAACGGCGTTAGGAAGATCAAACAAACCTTGATCTCCGCCCGCTTGCCAATCCAACGATCCGAATCCACCATTCCCCGATCTACCCTGCAGCGCCGACAACTCCAGCTGTACCGTTTGATCGAGCAATCCTCCGCCGGTGATCTCCTGCATCTTCAATTCCTCTCCTCCACTGCCCATATTCACCATCTTCTGTTGTTCCTGATTTTGCCACTGCTCGGGGTTCTGGTCCAGGCCCTGCGCTTGGCTTAACATGTTGCCGAACCCAAACGACATCGTTTCGTTCGACGACGAAGTTATCAGGCTCGTGAAACTCCCAATCTCCGAGAATATCCCGCAGTCCGAACCTTGCTCAGGAAGCAACGTCCCTGACTCGAACCCGCAGTTGGCGTTTGCATGTCCGTAGAACTTCGTGTCATTGACGTTGAGCAAATTGGAAACAGAGCCAGAAGAATGCCCCGACACCTCAGCCGTAGCAGCAGCACTGGTGAGAGCAACGGCACCGGCTTTCGTAGAAGCTGTGGCGACAATCGCGTTGGAATTAGCAGCGGTTAAACTGGAGCTCTCGCTGCTAGAGTGAGAACTGGCTTTGCGGTCTCGGTGTTGCTGGCTCGACGTCATTGTCGTTGTAGCGGCGGTGACAGTGGCCGCGGCCGCGGCTGAAGAGTCAGGATTAGACGGCTTGGATTTGGCGCGCTTGGCCTTACGACAGCCACCGCCGACGGGGACGTTGCGGAGCACGCCGCCTTTAGTCCAGTAACGTCGGCAGCTCTTACAGAAGTGTCGTGGCTGGGAAAGGTTGTAGTTGTTGTAGTAACAGAACTTGGTGTTGAGAGAGTCGCAGCGCGGGCACTTAAGCGCCTGGTGATTCTGGTGATGGCTGTGCGGCCTCAGCCGCCTGTCTCCTCCTCCGCCACCAAACAACCGCCCTCCGCCTCCTATCGCGTGGATGTCTTGCATTTTTGACGAGCAAAACCAACTCGGTAATTCCCTAACTCGCTACAACCTCTGCGTACTTCTTTTCTATTACTTTTCCTTGCTCCTCGGGAGTAAAAAGAAAAAAAAAAAAAAAAAAAGACGAAAAACGAAAAACCTCTGCGGTTTCGCTGATCAAATTTGCAGTTGCAGAGAAAAATCAGCAGACAATAAACAGAAATGGTTTATTGTAGCAGCGTCATGTGGAGCGGCAAGTCTCTGTCCGAGACGTATAGCAGGAGAAGAAGAAGAGGTTCAGTTTTGAAGATCTGACAAATATCCTCTCACATATCTTCCTACTATAACAATACTCCTTATAAAGTTACCAAATTACCCCTACAATTCCCCGCACTTCTCCCCGACCCCACTAACAAAATTACATCCTTACCCCTCAGGTGATTTAACAAACAAAGGGTAAAAATGGACTTTTAGTGAAAAGAAATGCTTGACCGTTTGGGGGGATTTGACGAGACACGTTGGGGAAGAATCACCGTACTATGGACGGGATGAGGTGAGTAAGAGGGGGATGGATCAGGACCGTGGGAGGTGGGACACGTGGACGGTGGAGAAGGTGGGAGAGTTGATGTCCAGAAAATCAGGTTGTCGACTTGTCGGCCATCCCGATTTATCTGTTGTGCTCCATCGGTCTTCCGAACAAATGGTTCACTGCCTGCCACGTTTCCTATTCGGATTGGTCCACTCTCCTTAATTATTTTTTATTTAATTTAAACAGTTAGTCTAACAGTGGGTCTGCCTACAGTGAAATAGATTACCCCCTAATACGGCACTTGCTGCCGTGCGTTTTGAATCTTGATTGCGATTGTGTATAGGCATTATTTAATATCCGTTGGATGTATGCATACAATATCAAATTAAAAAAAAAAAAAAAAAAATTAAATATATATAGTGAAATAAAATACCCGTCTCTACATACATATATACAATATGGATATTTTGCTTACTATTATTATTGTACATTGATAAATATTTAAGCGTACTATATTTACTAAAGTTTAATTTAAAGATATTTATTTGGGTATGTGATATTTTATGATGAAAAATAATGGGCATGAACCAAAGGTTGGAGATAATGAAGAGGTAGGAAGAATTAATTCCTTGACAAAACCAGTGTGGGCAGTTGGGTCAAGTAGGTGCCCCAACCACAATGGGCGTGTAGCTCCACAAGGTTGAGTCAATTGGGACATGTGTCCTATAAGCTCTAACGGATTGGGACGCTTGCTTGCACAATCACCCGGTACTTATTATTAGTCAACCAAATCGGCTTTGATCTTCTCTCCATCCCATTAATTGCTCTCAAATTTTCCTCCTCTTCGAATTGTTGTTTGAATTTATAATTAAAAACAAATTAAATCGTTAATTACGGATGTAATTGTTTTTAATACCTTAAGCAACAAGCTTTTTCAAAAGTTTAGATTGATGGGTTTAATCAAACAACAAAATTAAGCCAACCAAAAAAGTTTTGGTACAAAATTGAATTGATTAATTCATGTTAGGCAGCAGCTTAGAGCCAACTAATTTGGTGCGCGGTGTGCAAAAGTTCATTATTATCGCCATTATGTTCTTGGGATTTTCATCAGACGATACTTACAACCACTACTAACCCCCTTTAGCCTAATCCTCATAATTAATCTCATTAGTTTTTTAATGTTATAATTAAATTCATCATTAATTTGCCACGTATACATGGAAATCAATTAATTATAATTGCTAATATAAATCAAAACTAAACTTACAAGTTATAATCATTACCCTTTTCTTAAATAACACATGAAATTCAAATTCGATTTTTTAACAACATATACCATGCACAAATATACTATATATCGAATCATAATACGTGTGTGTGTGTGTGTATATGAAATCTCAAATCAGAGTGAACACCTGGGATCAAATTCACATTGCAGACTAAGGGCAGGGCTAGTATATGTACATTATCCACAATTTCACACACAAGTCGACCTCCGTAATGTCACGTACAAATAATTGTAGGGCTTATTTGTCTTTATAAGGACAAGCAATGTTCATCGTGGCCCCCCATCAACAGAGCATACTAGCCGTCCATCAACTGTTGATCAACTTCAATTATCAACAAAGTGGACCCCAACAAAAGTTCCAATCCTTGCAAATCAAACCGTCCATCAAGACTACTCTGGTCATCATCACTGTTTCGTACCATTGTATACATGTGAATGTACCACCAAATTTTTTCTGTCCGTAGTAGCAAAAATTGTGTAGTAGTAAGTGACAGTGATAGTAGTAGTAACGTTCACGAGATATTAAATTATGTTGAATCTTAGAGTCGCAAGTGAAGACAATTCGCGTATCAAATTTGCCCCTCTACGAAGGGCTTATGCATCTTCGCATCTTCTTTTGTATGTCCCTTGCTTATCCCCGCAAAATTTATTTATTTATATATATATTAAAATAACATAAAATTTAATTTTTTTATATTAAAATTGGTAAGCTTTTAAATAAAATTTAATGATTTTTTTTTAAAGAAAATTATGTTAAAAATGTTGCTTGCATCCTAATATTTTTTGTGGGTATGTGGTAAAATAATTTATTTTAAATTAAGATGAAATTTTTAATTATTTTAAATTAATTAATTTGGATTTTAGTTCAAATAATAAATTTAAATTAAGATAAAAATAAATGAAGGAGAAATAAAAAGTTTGGTATGCGGGTGTGGGGGAGCGAACAGGTAAAATTGATGGGAACATGTTCACAGCGCACATGGGCCTGTGGGGACACTCCTAAATTAGGCCTTCCGGTACTTGTCTACGTCTCTTTCTCTCTCAGAAATTT